ATGTTAAAGTCATTTGGGGAGTGAAAGAATAAATGGAAGATTTCTCTATCCCCCTACCCTGTTCTTCGTAACGTCTTTCAAATAAAAATAGAATGCTTCATTGTCCAACTTTTATGTTAGCACCCTGCCTTAGATCACTTCTGTATGTTTCTCTCCTTCATAGCATGGGTGTTGTCGCTTTCATTTTGCTATGCACTTATCTCTCAATTTCTCCTAAAAGTGATGACAGGATGAAGGAAGGGGACAGTGGGAAGGTATGAATAGATGAACTACTGGCTAGGACCAGTGAGGTATGTAAGAAGGAATTAAGAGGGTATAAAATTCATTTTAGGAATAGGTATTTGGCTCAGTGGTTAGGACACCACTCAGAATACCCATATCCCATTTCAGAGTGATTGGCTTTGAGTCTTGGCTCCAGTTCCAATTCCAGCTTCTTGCAAATGTACAGCCTAGTAGGTGGCAGGTGGCAGTTCAAATACTTGGGTCCTCTGCCACCCATGTGGGAAATCCAGACCAAATCTCAGGCTCCTGACTTCAGTCAGGCATAGTACTGGCTATTCTTTTAGGAGTGAACCAGCATAGAGAAATGGTATCTAGCTCTCTCAAATAAAAATGGAAAAAAATATATATGACTTTTAAAAAATATTAAGGGAGTCTTGGAAGCAGGTGGTTAGCCTAACAGTTACCATAGCTATAATCCATATCCAAGTACCAGGGTTTGAGTCCTAACTCCAGATTCCTGCTACTGTAGACCCTGGATGGGGACAGTTCTGGCTCAGGTTGCTAGTGTCCTTCCATCCACATGAAAGAAAGATCTGGAGTGTGTTCCAAAGTCCTGGCTTTACTCCTGTGGGTTTCCTGAAGCCTGAACCAGTGGATGGGCTCTTGCTGTCCCTGTGTGTCTGCCTCTCCAAAAAAAAAAAAGTTAAAGTATAATAAATTAAGATAATAAAAAGTTGACATAATCCAGGCCTCAGTTCAACATAGGCTGATGGCACTGACGTTTGTAGCAGCAACAATGCAGATTCATAGCCATGGTTGAAATGTTGCTGTGCAGTGAAGAGCTGCAGCCTCCCCACCATGGGATCCAAACGTGACCTTAAGCTCTTTGTCATCTTGCTTCCCTTAAACCTCCAGGACAGCCTTATTCACACCACAGAACACAAGCGGCTCACTTTAATTTTCTTTCATTGTGTCGAACAAGAAAATAAAAACCTGTTAACCTTAAACTCAAAAAAATGCCAGCAATTAAACAAAAATTTTTAGTCTCCTCTGATAGAAGGTTCTAGTGGAGGGTTCTATGACCCTGTGTGCACTGCCAAGAGTTGAGTGTGAAAATGGTATCAAATCTCAAGTCAAGCTTCTGAGTCAGCCCATTTGCTTTGCATCCTGTTGGAATAAAACTATTCCAGCAGCTAGAAGTCAAAACAGAGTGTTCAGAGGGGCAAAGGAGGAGCAAGATCGAGGGAGACAGAAGGAGGAGGGGTGAGGGAGACGGTAATGGAGAGGTGGGAGAGGCTTGGGGAAGAAGAAGATTCCTCCAGCAACAAGGACTACAGGGGAGGCGGGGTTTGGCTGGTTTGGAAACCATTCAGACATGCATTACCTTCAGGTCAGCTGGAACAGCTGCCGTGCTAAGCCAGGGAAATCCCGGGAGTTTGTTTGATGTTGAGTGTTGATGGAAGCAGACTTGGAGCTGGGGAAGGACGCATAAGGTCAGCGAGTCCCACCAGCCATCTTGTCCGGAAGCCGGTCGGCTCACAGAGCTGGAATCTTAGGCATTTTGCTCAGTCCTCTTTCCCGTTTCTGGAACTGTGTTCTTAATCATGTGCAGAATGTGCTGTTTCCTGAGTATACACAGTAACTCTGTTCTCTTAGACCCTGAGATGTAGAATCTCACCTGTGTCTCCTCGTTCCTGCCTGATCTGGATGCTTTTAACTGCTCCTCCTCGGTCACCCCAATGGTCATTCACTTCCTCTGGGTGTCTGGCTTTCAGCCCTGCACCCACACAGACCAGCACCCTCAAACACACACACATGTCTACTTGAATTCCTGGAAGCAGTGACGCAGGCAAGGGGATCCCCTCCCGGCTGTCCCCATGGCAGGGTGAGAGGAGAAATGCTGGGCAGGCTTGGCTCCAGCTCACCTGGCTGAAGAGTCATCTGACTTTGCCCAGATCCCCCTGGAAGCCAAGGCTTTTCTTGGCTAGCATTACCAGGACATGAGTCAGTGGCATTTAATCTTCAAGGGAAGGCCCCAGGCGCCCAGCCAACCACATGGATACGTGGGAATCAGGATGCAAAGCGAACATGTGGGCTTTTGTGTGTGCCCTCCTAGGCTTGGGACAAGCCCTGAGAGTTTCTCTTGATAGGCAATCTGGCCACCAGGTTCATTAAGGGCAATCACCACTCAGGTTCAAGTCCAAGCTCTGATGTCGACCAGCAAGCTGCTGAGACTCCCTGACCCCGGTCACTGCTGATGCCAAGGGCTGGATGAGGGTCTGGCATGGGCACACAGCCAGCGAGCAATAAATGTTGCTTTGATCGTCACTGCCTTTATAATTTTGGGCAGACCGTGGGCCGAGTTCAGTGAAGCATCAAGTTGCACAGTGAGTCTCCCAAATACAAATGATTAAAATGTCGGCCCCTTCCCAACTTCATGCAGCCCTGGCCATGTCAAGCTCTACGATTGGAACCCGGGGAAGCACCAGTATCAATTCAGAATTTCAAAAATACTGTGAGGTTAGCAGCCAGAATTACACGGAGGCAAACTAGATTCAGAGGTACAGGAACCACCCAAGGCCGTTCAGTGAATAAAACAAGAAGCTGCTGGTTCCTGTGGACTCCATCACCCACACTCCATGAGCTGCTGCTTCCCACATAGCAGCATGGACAGCTCAGCCAAGCTCAGTGCCCACAGACAAATGAAATCCAGCATGTGCACTTACTGATTGCATAAATCAGATGTTTCCACTCAGAAGAGCCATCTCAACTGTCACTCTCCCCAACAAGAAGGGCCTGGAGTCTCCCGCGTTTTTCCTTGCTGGTTTTTGACCTTGACTCGTAAGTCAGGGTTGGGTTTGTGACAGAAGCTGGATCTGCTCGGAATCAACTAGTTCCCCCTCTGTTGTCCTCATTTCACTAAAGTTGTTCAAACTCAGGGTTGGCATTGTGGTGCAGTGGGTTAAACCCACCCGGCATGCCATATAACCTCCAGTTCAAGTCCCAGCTACTCTGCTTTTGATCCAGCTCCCTGCTAATACACCTGGGAAAGTGGTAGATGGCCCAGATGCTTAGGCCTCTGTTCCCACTCAAGAGGCTCCTAGCTCTGGTTCAACCCGGCCCAGTTCTGGTCATTGTAGTCATTTAGGGAGCGAACTAGCAAAGGAAAGAATCCTCATCTCCATCCCCATCTCCAAGGTCTCCGGGAGGACCCAGAAGAAGAGAATGGAGGGCAGAGGTTTCCGTCTTTCATAGCAGGAGTTGGTGGCTGCTCTCAGCAAGGCTCTGTCTCCAGGAGGAGAGAAGCTTGAGAAAACCATGCACCTGCCCACCTGCTCGCTCTGTTCATCAGGGTTCAGCCTGAGCCAGAATGCCTTCCTTCCCACCAGCCTGAGCAACCCCAGGGAGGACAGGGACCCGCCTGAAGGTTCCTTCCAAATCCTGGAGGCCAACGCCCCCCAACTCCGGCCCCGGCACTGGCAGGATACAAGTTCGTGGGTCCCTCTGTTTACTGTGCAAGCTCGGCCTGCCCCAGGGACTGGGGTTGGCTTTGAGCCCTATGTAAACAAACAGATCTACTCCGGGACCCTGCAATGTGCTTGGCTGCTGCCTCTGAGATTCTGTTCTTATCTCCCAGGGCCAGCAGTGTGGGCCATGCGGCCCTGCCCCGTAGCCGGCTCTCTGTTCTCACTGGGAGGTTGTGCCTGTTGGAGGCGGGCTCTGGACCACACAAGACTGTGCATAAACTGTTTACTCCATGCTGGGGTCCAGACCCCTCCACCCACTGTGGTCCTGCTGTACCTTAATGACCAGATCCCTGCAGCTAATACCCCCTAATCAGGTACCGTAGAGCACTCCACAATATCTTGCCTGCTTGTCTGGCCAGCTCGGAGCTTTTTATCCCACCCCCACTTTTCCCTCCCCAACTCATCATCCCGCCTGAATTTTTTACCCATTCACCCTGAAAGAGAGAGAAAAAAAAAAATTCTTGTGGACCCACCAAGTAGCTTTCAGAAATTGCTTTTGTTTCAGCATCAAGGGCAGCTGGGGATGACAAGTCTGGGTTCCAGGAAACCCACTGGGTCTCAGACACGGCGCCAGCAGAAAGGAACTGGCTGCCACCTTATAGGTAAGGGCCATCGACAGAGGCAAGCCAAGTGCCATACTGCCTTCTAGCTGTGCCCCCCGCAACCCTAGGCTACCTCTTCAGGAATGCCGATAAGGAAGAGAGCTTTGAAAGACTTCCCGCTCTGCCTTGGGACAAGAAAGCACGGCCCTCACCCCCCGCGGGGCGCTGGCCTTCCCTCGACTCCCTGTGGGCCTCCCCCAGCCATGCTAAGGACGCTGACAGCCATAAAAAATCAGGGCCTGTTAGCAAGAGGAAAGATCACAGGCCCTGATTCCTGGTGAGCTCCTCCAACAACAGCCGCCATCTGGCTCCGCATCACAGACCGGGGCAGGCCCTGATTTATGGGGAGGTCCGGGTCAGGGAGTGGCCACGTGCGCTGCCCTTTGCCCTGCAGACACCCTAGTGGGCCAGAGCCTGGGCGAAGGCTATTGCAGGTCGTCCATAAATCCCAGGCATGAAACAATGCAGAGGTTATTAAAGGGAGCTGGGAGGGACCCGGAGAGGGGAGTTATTCCAATTACAAGCACGGTTACCTTCCTCAGGCAGTTCAAAGCGTGTGTGCTCTAACGCATTTCAGCAGCCAATAAAAGTACTGTTGAACTTCTTCTTTTCTCTACCTTTTTTTTTTTTGCAGGGGCGAGGCAGGAGAGAAAAGGAGAGTAGAAGTTTGGAGAAGCCCATTGTCTTTCTACATGATAGGGTACAGAGGTGCGAAGATATGTGGCAGCTTGGAAGCTGGGCGGACGCCTCCAATAACCTGTTTAAAAAAAGGAAACAGGCTATAATAAATGATGAACCCCAAAATACCAATGCCATCTCCCAGGGACAGTGATTTAACAACAAGCAACACTGAAACCCAAAGGTAAGCCACAGGGGACATATGTGGCTTTTTGAGCATTGCAGTAACCAGAGGCAGCGGCCAGGGCACTATGATGTGTGTGTACAGGGGGAGGCCAGGATGGGAGGCCAGTCCCATAAAACCAAAGCAAGCCTGGACCACCAGGGAGGCGTGGGCCTGCAGGCAGGAATGCTGTCCAAGTGATCAAAAGCTTTATCTTCTGCTCTCTTCCCAGAAGGCAATTTCACCAGAACCCTCAATTGCTAGCCATTAAGTCCCTGTTACCTTTTGCTGTGCCAAAAAGGAATTGGCTGAAAGTTATAATTAAGTTGCACTGGTATGGGCTGGGCTGGGCTGGGGAGGGTGGTCCTGAAGGGCCTGGATGGATATTGAGAAAAGCCTTCAGGACTATGGCCCATCACTGTGAGTCTTGGGGGAGGTACCGGAAGACATCTGGTCAACCTGCTCTACACTATTGGGGAATCTTCCTTGGGGCATCCTGTGTCACACTCAGAGATATGGGCAACAGTTTTAGAACCAGCTGGCTCCTTTCAGTAAGCTAAGGCAATGACTGTTTCTCTAAGAAATGTAACACAAGCGAAGTTGCCCTCTGCTCTGCATTCCACTGGCTGATCCCATGTTTTTACAATGTCCCTACAGGCTGCAGGGCACCTGTCTGGGCATCCCACTTCCCTCTCCTCCACCCCTCCCATCGCTCCTGACCACCTCCTGCACCCACATGACCTCCAGTGCTCACCTTGGTAGAGCTGCTTCTGTGCCAAGACATGGCTGACACAGACAGACTGCTGACTGGCAGCCTGGCCTGGCCCTAGCCCTGGCCTCAGCCTTCAGGACCTCTGGCTGCCATCCCTCCTGCTCTGTCAACGTGCTGCCCCTTGCTCTCTGACTTGCCAACAGGTGTCCCTCACATGCAGGGAAGATGAGGATTTAGCCACTGAGCCATTGCATTCAATCCAGGTTTCCACGTGGGTAGCAGGGACCTAAATATTTGCGCCATTACCTGCAATCTCTCAGCATTTGCCTTACCAACAACCTGGAATGAGAGGCCAGAAACAGAAACCAAATCAAGGTGCTCTGACATAGGCTTTGGACATCTTAATCAATGTCCTAACTGCTAAGACATTGAATGTTAATATAATAGTAAATTCCTGGGCCCGGCACAATAGCATAGTGTTAAAGTCCTCGCCTTGCACACACTGGGATCCCATATGGGCACAGATCTAATCCCGGCAGCCCCTCTTCCCATCCAGCTCCCTGCTTGTGGCCTGGGAAGGCACTCGAGGATAGCCCAAAGCCTGGGGACCCTGCACCCATGTGAGAGACCCAGAAGAGCTCCTGGCTCCTGGCATTGGATTGGCTCAGCTCCAGCCATTGCGACCGCTTGGGGAGTGAACCATTGGACAGAAAATCTTCCTCTCTGTCTCTCCTCCTCTCTGTATATCTGCCTTTCCAGTGGAAATAAATAAATCTTTTTTAAAAATAGTAAATGCCTTTCACATTTTAAAGTCTGTTTTGTCTGATATCAGTGTAGCAACTCCAACTTCAAGCTGTGCCTTTTTCTCTCTTTCCATCTGTTTCTGTGGTTGAATCTAAAGTTTGTCTCCGGCTGATAGTGTAAGTAAATGCAGTTCTGTGCCACTTACTGAAGGTCTGATCCTTGACGGGCCACAGTTAACAGCAGTGGTCCCTTCAGATTCCGTCGGCTGGTGCTGTGACAGCTGCCTGACAAACTCACCCAATGATGCCGTCCTCAGACCGTGGCCCCATGGTTAAACTGACATGCGGCTGTAGTTAGAGCATGTTTTTGATCCAGTCTGACAGTTTCTGTTTTCATTTTGTTATCTAACCCATTCACATTTAATGTTAACAGTAGCATAATCTATATCTGTCATTTTTCTTTTTTATTTTCCATATATTCTCATGTCCTTTTATTATTTTTCTTTTTTTAATACTTGTGTATGAAGTGGATATTTCTAAGGTACCATTTTAACATGTTCCAATAAACCTTTTAGGAGTTACTATAGGTTTGCCATATACATCGAATCGCAATCAAATTCTTATTTGTACTAGTTTGGTTCCAGTGATATATATAGAAGCAGATGTATAGAAACAGAGAAAGAGAGGGAGGAAGACCAAGATCTATCCATAAATTTGAGGAGTTTCTAGAAATGATTTCTTCCTTACTCTCTGTTTCCTGGGCTGTCTGCATTACAAATACGCTGACACATTTCACAGGCTCCCATCATCCTCCTGCAATGCTTTTCAATTTTCTTCGTTTTTCTCTCTACTCTTGTATAATCTCTATTACTCCCATCTTTAAGTTCACTCATTCTTTCTTTTGTTTCTTTTTTTTACTTTTTTTGAACAAAAATCAGGAACATTTCACAAATTTGTGTGTCTTCCTTGTATAGGGGCCGTGTCGATCTCTGTATTGTTCCAGTGATACTGTGTGTGCTTTCGAAGTAGGAACCACTCATTCTTCTGCTGAGAACCCCTTAGGGATATTTTGTTTGATTTCCTCTTGGATTTCCATTTTGTTCTTTCTCTTTTTTCCGAAAGATAGATTTATTTATTTATTTATTTATTTATATTGGAAAGTCAGATATACAGAGAGGAAGATCTTTCGTCCACAGTCGCCAGAGCTAAGACTATCCAAAGCCAGGAGCCAGGAGCTTCCTCTGAGTCTCCCACACAAATGCAGGGTCCCAAGGACTTAGACCATCCTCCATTGCTTTCCCAGGCCATAAGCAGCCAGGACATGAACTGTCGCCCATTTCAGTTTCATGGCCCCAGGACAGAGAATTAGCTTGCTACGTCACTACACTGGCCCCTGGTGATTTATTCTGGTTCTGGAAACCAACAGGCCTAAAAATTGAGTTTACATCTTGAATCTCCTTCTAATTTTCTTTTACCACAACCTTCACTGAAAGCAACCTTACACTTATTTTTCTCCAAGCTCATTTGAAATTGAAGTCAGTCCGCTTGGGAAGAAACTAGAAATATCTTTCTGACCTGATTCTCCCCTACTTCCCAGCAAATTATCTGAGCTAGGGCTCTGTTGCTGTAGCTGTGAGATGATGACAGTTTCTCCCTGAGTAACATCCTCACTCTAAAACCTAAGTGTATGATAAGAAGAGTTGGGGTAGCCTCATTTGTCCATCCTGGCATGAAGCCATTTCATGGCCAACACTCTTTGCACATGCTGCACCCAGGATAGAACTTACATCCCAAAGGGGCCCCCACTTTTCAATCACATCCACCAGAGACCTACCCTCAACCACAGGCAGCTGGGGACAGAGCGGGAAAAACTGTGTGCTAGTCAGGGAGGAGCCCCATGCTTCGGCTGCAACTGTCTCAAGCAGAATTCCCACTGTGTTAAATCAGGTACGCGGAACGGAGAAGTGGTCTTGGTTGAAATAGCACGGACTTCCCTCTCTTACACAACTTGTGAATTTTCTTGAGCAATGGTGTCTTTGCTGTCTGATTCCCTGGGATCATTTCCAGAGTTGGGCATGGTTTCAGTTGCTGCTGTGATTTTCACGGGAAGGTGGGCTCCTCACACAGGCAAGCCAAAAGTTGATCTTCCTCTAGGGAGTTTCCAGTGTGCAGCTATTATTAATGCCATTTGTACAAACAGCAAGGCGTCTGTAGCACGGATCTCTGCCCAGTGAAATAACGGACTGGGACTGAGGTGGCAAAAATCCTGACGCATGGCACCCATGAAGGTGGCCCGATTTGGCCACAAGACCTTTACAGCAGCGATCAAGTTGCAATCATAAACTGGCCTGAGGCGTGCTCAGTGTGATCACAGGTGCCCTGTTAGGAGGGAAAAAGTGCAGACCCATGCAGTGTAGACACAGTGAGAAAGCCATGGGTTGGTGGGGCTTGGCAGGAAGTGACTATACAGCAAGGAAGGTTCAGGATTGCATGACCTCCAGGCGCTGAGAAAAGGCACAATAGTGCCCCCCCAACCCATGCCCCTGTCTCCAGAGACATAAGAAGAAACACAACATGTGCTTTGTTTGGGTCTCCGTTTCCAGGACTATGAGATAATAGATGTCTACTGCATGAAGCCACCCAGGGTCCCAGGCGTTGGAGAGGACTAATGCTCGGACTTCTTGGAAGCCTAGTCTGGTAGGTGGCTACTTGAAAAGAGTGTCCAATTTTCGTGTGGAAGAGTCAGCGCCAACCTTGCTTCCCATTTCACATCATCACATCATTCCTTTTCTGTTTTCAGTTTGTCACCTAGCTCCACAGGGTAGATGACATTTCTGTGAATGAGGGAAATTCTTGGTTTCCAGAAACTTTTTTAAAAACACACTTCTATTATATTTTTTCACTCGACACATGGTATCTGTATTTATGAGATTCGATGCAATGTTTTCATATGTGGGTCCGTGTGGTGAGATGCTTAAATCGGGACACTTAGCGCCTCTTGTATTATTGGAGTGAGTGTTCAAATGCTACTCTCCTAGCTGTTTGAAACTTACCTGATTGTTGAATCTAGGTGCCTTGCTGTGCAATAGAACTCTGACACTCTCCCCCATTGGGTCAGCCTCTCCCCTCCTCAACCTGCCAATCTCCTTTCAACTCTCCACTTCCATGAGATTCAGTTTATTACACCTCCTCATGATCAAGTAGAAATGTGTCCTTTAAAGTACTTGTTAACTACCATATCCCCCAAATTCACAATTAACCTATCTCACTGTTTAACAAGGCAATAATAATTTAGTCCCTGAGTGGCATGTCCTACAAAGCCTTGGTTGGGATTCTCTTTCCTTTGACTACTGGGTTACTGCTCTATAAAACAACTTAGCCAGTGGCAAGAGCCAAAGGCAGGGTACCAGCCAGAAACCAGATTAACCAGCACCTTTTGTGTCCACATTTGACATATTTTTCTTCTTGGAAGTAGTATATAAAACACACTGTTTGCAGCATTTATATTTTTCCTAACACCTAATAATTTACTCTTTTATGGCATAACATCTGCTTCTACAATCCGTTTTTCCAATTCATTTCTCGCATCTTTGTGTCTTTCTGCAGTCTGGTTAGTTCCAAATCACAGTGAAATTTAAGAATACCCACAGTGGTGAGGAGAAAGTTTTTAGGCCAAGTGAATAATAGCGCATCCTAAAACACAGCTGCAGACCGAGTCCCCCTGCCTTACCCACAGCAGATAGGATCCAGGACCCCCCAGTGAATGCCTGAAATCAGCCATGGCATAGAACCCTAAAAGCACCAGCTTGGGCTGGAAGCCCTCCAACACTGTCACTCAGCACCAGAAGTAATCTCTCCTTTCATGCTTTGTACCTGGGGTTTCTTTGCCTCCCTACTCTCGCACTTTGGGTTCATGGTTGAGTAAAATGAGGGATGGATGAAGCCTTACAATACTGCAGCCATGGCTCCAGTAACAAAGATAGCAACTGAGTAGCCAACTGGTGGGTGGCACACGCAGGATGGATGTGCTGCACAATGGGGCAATTTGCATCCCACGCATAAAGGAGCAGACAACATAAGGGTTCATCATGCTACTCATAACAGCTTTACCTTGTAAAGTGTTTATTTCTAGACTCTTCCTTTTGAGGTTTTCATATCATGGGGACTGTCGCAGTGGCAACTTTGGGTCTTTGCATATAGACTTCTCTGATTGGTATTCAGAAATGTTGACTATGATGCTGGGCACTCAGTGGCTTGAAGGCCCCTGGATCATCTTGCAGTGCTAAGGATGCTGAATGGCAAGAAAAAGTACGAGGAAGAAGAAGAGGATGGAGGAGGATGTTTCTGAGAGAGACCATCATACTTGTCCTCCACATCTACTGTGCTTTTTAGAGGAGTGGGCAACACCCAAATGAGTGACATTAAGTTCAAAGAATGTCATTAATTGATGCGCTGATTGCTCTAAGAGCACAGATGGGTGGCCAGTGCTGTGACATAGTAAGCTAAGCTGCCTTTGACATTCCTGCCAACATACCATATGTGGTGTGCAGTTCATATCCTGGCTGTTCCACTTCCAATCCAGCTCCCTGCTTCTGGCCTGGGAAAGCAGTGGGGGCTGTCCCAAAGCCTTGGAACCCTACACCCATGTGAGAGATCTAGAGGAGGCTTCTACCTCCTGACTTTGGATCAACTCAGCCCTGGCCATTGTGGCCATTTGGGGAATGAACCAGCAGATGAAACATTTCTTTGTCTCTCCTTCTCCCTATAAATGTACTTTACAAATACAAATGAATCTTTTAAAATTATAGATGAACTGGAAAGTGTGTGTGCGTGTGTGTGTGTGTGTGTGTACGTGTGCACACGTGTATGTGCTGTGAAAATTATGCCCCTTCCCTCAAGCTCTTCCTTGAAGGACACCCAGCCAGTAGCAACCTTTCCAATTCTGTTCTTCCCGGATCTGCCTGTTCCCTGGATCCACCTGCTCCCAGCCTTCCTTAGAACCCTTGCACTCCAGCACTCCTTAGAACTCCAGCACTGAGTGCCCATGATGCCATGGTCTCATGGGTCTCAGGCAGACTATTCACCAATACTGCAGGTGCTTGGAGTTCAGATACGGCCTGAGTGTGTCCTCCATGGCTTCAGATGTTGACATTTACTTCCCATTACAAGGCATCGTGAGAGTGGAAACTTGATTGCACAGGTGTGTAGAGGTGGGGGTCTTTGGAAAGTGAGTAGGGTTACATGAAGTCATTAGAGTGGACCATCCCATCACTGAATCCAGGTAGTCTTGCATGAAGAGGCAATCTCTCTCTCTCTCTCTCTTTCTCTCTCTCTCACACATACACACACACACACACGTGTGTGTGTGTGTGTGTGTGTGTGTGTGTGTGTGTGTGTGTGTGCGCTCCATGCCTCTTGCCACATGAAGCCCTGTGCTTCCTGGAGATCCTGCCGGCAAAGGCGCTGTCCCCACATGCAGTTTCTTGGGCCACAGACCTCCCACACTGTGAGCCAAAGCTCTTTTCTCCATCACTCACTCACGCTGCGGTATTGTGCTGCTGGCAACGAACACAGGCTCACACAGATGTTTTAAAATTGCCCTGGCAACAGTGGGCACGACTGACTGGAGCTGAGGAGCAGAAACTTGAGAAGCAGGAAGATGCATTAGGAATGGTTGTACATGAACCAGAACAGGAAGCAGGGAGCTGGGGCTGGCGGGAGTGGGAGGGCGGTGGGGAGCAAGCGGAAAGTCAGCAGGCAAGGAGAGTTTGCATAGGACGGCGCATCAGGGCTGCAAGTGCTGGGGCTGGGGAGGCACCGAGGTGGGAGGAGCCAGCAATGACTTGGAAGTGCAAGCGTGGCTGGCGCGGGTCAGGGAGCAGCAACGGTGTTCCTGAGGGAGGCACAGCCTGGGCACTTGCACACCACAGAAAGCTGTCCATACCAGAGGCCACAACTGCCTTTTGGTTTTGTTTTGTTTCATTTGTTTTAAAAGGCAGAGGGACAGATGTCTGCTCTTTTTCTGCTTAAATGTCCACAACAGCCAGATTGAGCTAAGTCAAAGCACAAAGTCAGAGACCCCATCCAGCTGCCTACCATGTTGGGGTACAGAGTCCCCAGCACTTGAACTGCCACCCCTGGACCTGAACTCAGGCTCCCCACTATGTGATATGGGCACCAAATGACACCCTCAAAACTGTTTTGTGATACACACACACAAAGGTCACAGGAACAGGATCACAGCAAAGCCCTGGTGAGGTCTGTCAAGCACAGCCCGCTCCTCAGGAACGCGACAGGCAACGAATTGCTTAATTCTTTGGTGGCCACTCCTCTCCTTCCACTCTGATTCATCCCTCTTTGGGGTCTTGGGTCATTACACTCGCTGCTCACAAGGTTCTCACACCAAAAGTCGGGGCACCCTGCACTGCTCTGAGTAGCAAGGCATTTGTGCCCTCTCCCATAGCCCAACGTTGTGGGATGGCAGGCAGGGCCCTCATGTCCCACAGACAGATCAGACCTTCATGAGTGTGTTTGTGCATCAGGAAGCCCAAAGATGGGGTCCTACCCCCCATCAGACCTCAAACCTTGTCTCTTGGCCCCACGGGACATGGTCCTTCTTACTCCGCACGCGTAGGTAGATCTCCAGAGTGAAGAATTCAAGGCATCCCTCTCCAGGCCACCCTGTGTTCCTTCCCTTCCCCTGCCTTCTATCTCTGCCTTTTCCCTTTCTTGCTTTCTTGGGGAAAGCGGCTGAGGAGGAAATGTAGGAACAGAGAACTGGCTAAAGCAAATGGACCAGGAATTGACCAGTGGTTGTGTTTGGGGGAAATGAATCAGGAAACGGGAGCCCTCTGCTTCTCTTTCTTTCTCGGCCTTTAAAGTAAGTAAAATTAGGGGCACTGCAGACTAAGCAGTGAGTCTCAGCTGCTCCACTTCTGATCCAGCTCCTTGCTGGCCTGGAAACACAGCTGAGCATGACAAAAGTCCCTGGGACCCTGCACTCATGAGGAAGATCTGGAAGAAGCTTCCGGCTCCTGGTGTCTGATGATCTCAGCTTTGCAGCTACTTGGGGAGTAAACCAGTAGATGAGTGACACCTCTCTCTCTCTCTCTCTCTCTCCTCTGTAACTCTGCTTTCCAAATAAAAGAATACATCTTTAAAAAGATCTGCCTGCTTTCTCCTATTAATCTTTCTACTGCCGGTCTATGCTATAGAATCAGTCTTCAAGCCCTCAGAGGGGAGAATTTCTCTACTATCCTGTCGCATTCAGGGGTGAGCCCTGCCTGTCTTCCAAGCACAACAGTGTTGACACCCAAATTGAGTTTGCTAATCCACCAGCCATGCTGTGTTCAGGATACGGAGCTTAAAGGGACAGCTCACCTAGGCCTTACTGACCTCTGGGCAAAGCTGATTCAAGCAGACCTGGACCGTACCCACTCTCCGAGAGCTGCTGGGACCGAACCTCCTGCTCTGGACTCCCAAGGCACCCTGTGTGTAGGCAGCAGCCGCACCCCCAAGATGTGCCATGAGAGTACCCTCTCTTACACTTCTCCTTGGTGTGCAGCCCTTGTGCTTGTGCGACTCTAATGTCTTGGGGCATCAAGTGAGTGCCAAGCTCTGGCCTCCAGGCTACTGATGGTCAGGTGTGACTGGTCCTGGGACCGACAGTCTCTCTACCCACTTCTCCACGCCTCCAT